ACAGGAGAATTGGGATAAAGGAAAGGTGGATAGGGGAGCACGGAACCACAATTCTTAGTTAAGGGAGCCAGTTTAGGGTGGGCAAGAGACTTGACCCTAGAGGGGCTCCCTAGTGCCCAAGATGAGGTTCCCAGTTAGTTCCTTGGGCAGCTGAGGATTGGGAACCTGGAATGACCCTATCCTAGAGCAATACTGACGAATATCTTGCATATCATCATAGAATCTTCATCTGGTGATGGATAAAGTTAGAGACAGAGACCCACACAGGAGCACTGGACTGAGCTCCCAAGGTCCCAAGGAGGAGCAGAAGGAGGGAGAACATGAGCAAAGAATTCGGGACCACGAGGCGTACATCCACCCACTGAGACAGTGGAGCTGATCTACGGGGAGCTCACCAAGGCCAGCTGGACTGTGACCGAAAAAGCATGGGATAAAACCGGACTCTCTGAACATGGCGAACAATGAGGGCTGATGAGACACCAAGGACAATGGCAGGGGGTTTTGATCCTACTTAATGTGCTGGCTTTGTGGGAGCCTAGCCAGTTTGGATGTTCACCTTCCTAGATATGGACGGAGGGGGGAGGACCTAGGACTTGCCACAGGGCAGGGAACCCGGACTGCTCTGTGGACTGGAGAGGGAGGGGGGAAGAGGAATGGGGGGAGGGGAGAAGGGTGGGAGGAGGGGGAGAAGGGTGGGAGGAGGGGGAGAAGGGTGGGAGGAGGGAATGGGAAATGGGAGGCTGGGAGGAGGTGGAAACTTGTTTTTTGTTATGTTTTTTTCTTCTTTTCGCAATAAAAAAAAGATTTATGCTTAAAATTAAAAAAAAACAATCAGGTGAAGAAAACAGTTCAAGACATGAAATGGAAATAGAAACAATAAAGAAAACACAAAATGAAGGAATCCTACAAATGGAAAATTTGGGTAAGCCAACAGGAACTATAGATGCAAACAGCACCAACAGAATACAAGAGAGGAAAGATAGAATGTCAGGCATTGAAGGCACAATACAGGAAATAAATTCATCTGTCAAAGAAAATGTTAAATCTAAAACATTCCTAACACAAAGCATCTAGGAAATCTGGAAAAGACCAAACATAAGAATAACAGGAATAGAAGAAGAAGAAACCCAGCTCAAAAACCCAGAGAAGATATTTAACAAAATCATAGAAAAAATTTCCAGCCTAAAGAAGGACATGCTTATAAAGGTGTATGAATCTTACAGAACACCAAATAGATTGAGTCAGAAATGAAAATTCCTTCACTACATAATAATAAAAACACTAAACATGGTAAACAATGCTGTGGGACAATGGTCATTTATCCTGTCATTTGCGCTATTTTTAATAGAATGCTGATTGGCCAGTAGCCAGGCAGGAAGTATAGGCAGGGTAATCAGGTAGGAAATAAAGGCAAGGCAATGAGAACAGGAGAATTCTGAAAAGAGGGAAGCCCAGTCTCTAGTAATGACCCACTCTCAGAGGAAGCAAGATATTACTGCCTCACTGAAAAGGACCGAGCCACGTGGCTAACTCAGACAAGAATTATGGGCTAATGTAAGTTATAAAAATTAGTTAATAAGAAGCCTGAGCTAATGGGCCAATCAGTTTTTAACTAATGTAGACCTCTATGTGATTTCTTTGGGACTTACAACTGTAGGAACTAGGCAGGACAGAAACCTCAGTCAACAGAATGGCACCCACAGGGACAATTACATCCACATAAAGCCCGAGACAGCTTGGGAAGTAATTCTAGACAGAATAGAGTAAAGCATGGCTTACTGATAGCAACACTTTCTCAGGTGGGCTCTGCTTGCTAGAGGCAAGTGTTCTCATTTAAGAGAGGCTTCCTGACTCAGCATTAGCTGTGAAACCTTGCAGCTCTTTTAAGAGGTCCTGCCACAAAACACTTAAATGGTGTTGATGAAAAGCTGACCTCATGCTTTTTGGTGGTAGCATGGACCTTGAAACGCCACTGAGTTGTGGCAATAAATATGGCTCCAGTCAGTACCTCTGCCATGAGGCTGGAATCTCAGAAAGCTAAGGAATGGGCTGGATCCAGCCATCAAAACCATGGCTTTAATCCTAGCCATATCGCTTAGCAAATTAAAGACTCATGTGGTCAGAAAAAGAGAGATCTACAGTAAAGATAGATTCAAAGATGAATAACCCTCTAAATAGTTTACTGTGTGTTTTAAAATATATGCAGGCTTGGGAGAAAAATGAAAAGAAAAGGATAAAGTCCTTAAAATAAAAAAAGAGTACTTGGGTGTGGTGGCACACACCTTCAACCCCAGTACTTGAAAGGCAGCCTGGTCTACAGAATGAGTTCCAGGACAAAGATACACAGAGAAACCCTGTCTCAAAAAGCCAAAAATTAAAAACAAAAATAAAAAATAGAGTTTAAAATAAAGTCACATAAAGATGAAAAACACACAGAGAATCTAGATACTGTATGTTGTTATGTTCTCTTTAAATTGTTTAATGGCTGAGGAAGGAGTAACCACTACTAAACAATATTTGTTTACAAATGCTGCTGAATTAATTCAGGATAGGTATTCTGAAGATGCCTTGACTTCATAATTCAAGTCAAAAGGTATGTTACTTTGGAGAAGAGATTTTGCTTTTGTTTTCACAGGAGATGAGAGGCTCTGGATTCATTCTGAGTAAGAAAAATCATGTTTGATCAAGGAAGACCACCTGAGAAATCTCCAGTAGGAATGGGTGGCCCAGATGTCTGAGTTCTACATCCAGAAAATATTCAAGACTGCTTCCTGAGATGATCAAACCTCACAGGATACTCCAGTCATGACTTGATTATTATTCTGAAAATCTTTAGGTCCCCATAACATTATCATCATCCCCAATCAGCAAAAAGTAGCCTGAAAAACTATGCCCACATTCCCCAAAAATGGACTATGGATATTTTTCTTTGTTTAGAATGTTGGTTACAAGTTGTTATGGATAATGGTCAGGAGTAAAGCCAAACAAAGGGTATTAGATTCAGAGTTCTTGTTTTGTTTTTTTTTAAAGGGTGGAGTGCTGTAGGATAATGGTCATTTATCCTGTCACTTGTATTATTTTTAATAAAATGCTGATTGGCCAATAGCCAGGCAGGAAGTATAAGCAGGATGACCAGGCAGGAAATAGAGGCAGGGCAATGAGAACAGGAGAATTCTAGAAAGAGTCAACAGAACAAAGAAATAAAATTAAAAGCAGCAAAGAAAAAAGGCCAACTAACATATAAAGGCAGACATATTAGAATCATACCTGACTTATCAATGGAGACACTAAATTCCAGAAGGGCCTCTGGAGTGGTGTCTTGAAAACACTAAGAGTTCAGGCTGCAGTTCAATTTGCAAAACCATCAATAATCATAGACAGAAAAAAACAAGATATTTCATGGCAAAGTCAAATTTAAACAATAGCTATCCACAAACCCAGCTCTATAGAAGGTACTAAAAGGAAAACTTCAACACCAGGAAATTAACTACACCCACAAAAATACAGGCAATAAATAATCTCATATCAGCAAAACACAAAGAAGGGAAACACACACACACATACCCCCACTCACATACACACACTATCACCACCACCAACAACAAGAAAATAACAGAATTTAACAATCACTGATCAATAACGTCTCTTAATATCAATGGATTCAATTTGCCAATAAAAAGATACAGGCTAATAAAATGGATATGAAAGCAGGATCTATCATTATTCTGCTACATACAAGAAACACTCCTCAACATCAAAGACAGACATTACCTCAGAGTTAAGGATTGGGAAAAGATTTTCCAACCAAATGGTCCTAAGAAGCAAGTTGGTGTAGCTATCCTAATATCTATCAAAATAGATGTCCAACCAAATTAAAAGAGATGGGAAAGGACACTTCATATTCATCAAAGGGGAAATCCACCAAAACGACGTCTCAATTCTGAACATCTATCCTCCAAATATAAGGACACCCACATTTGTAAAAGAAACATTACTAAAATTTAACTCACACATTGAAACTCACACAATAATAGTGGGAGACTTTAACACCCCACTCTCACCAATGGACAGGTCTATCAGACAGAAATTAAGCAGAGAAATAATAGAACTAACAAACATTATGATTCAAATGGACCTAACAGATATCTTCACCCAAAGACAAAAGAATATACCTTCTCAGTAACTCATGGAGCCTTCTCCAAAATTGACCATATACTTGGCCACAAGGGAAGTCTCAACATACAAAAAAATAAAATAAAAGTACCTTCTATAGAGCTGGGTTTGTGGATAGCTATTGTTTAAACTCTCAGAGTGAAAAAGAAAGGGTAATTGAGTACAAGATTAATATACAAAACTTTGTGGTCTTCCTATATCGTAAAGCAAACATCTAGAAAGTACAAGAAGAGGTATCTACATATAGTACCGAGAAAAAATTATAAAATATGTAGAAAAAATCATGAATGTCTTAGAGTATATGGGGGAAGGGTCATAGCAGGAGACAGATGGTATGTTCAAATTAGAATAGTTGGAGGGAGGTTCATGAAAGGGAGTATTTACAGAGATGAGGAGGGTGTAAGGAAATTAGCAAGGACTGCAAACCATTAGTGGCCTCGGTGGGTGGACTAGGTGGAAGACTGGTCCCAGCAATCCACAGAGAGAGCATTCTGGAGAAAAGACCACATTTAAAAGCCTAGTGGGTTAAGTGTGAGCTCAGCCAGATATAGACACCTCAGTTTCCCTGTCCTCCCTCCTCCTATCAAGGCTGGGATAAAAGTTGCACAAAACTCCATCTGACAATTTCAAACATTTTTAACTTAAAAAACAAAAAGAGAGTCTCGAAAGGCTGCCAAGTGGAAGACAGGTTCATGACCAGACACTTTAGGGACAGGATTCATTCATGTTAAGTAAAAGTAAAAACCTTCAAAGAGGCACCGTGTGCTGGATGATTCGTGGATATATAGAAAGTCACAATCACAATGAATGGTGGCTTCCTAACTTACCATTTCTTTTCTGATCACGGCAATGCCAACTATCTGGTTTGCAACTTCAGCTACAAACACCTGCAGAGCTGTTCCATCCTGCAAAGGTAAGGGGCGTTTTGTTAAGACCCTGGAGAGCATCACCACCAAGGTCTCTTTAATCAGCCCCTGGGGCATCCATGACTGGGATGCAGTCACCAGCCTCAGCTGCAGTCACCACGGTAACAGAACCAACACTCGGCAACATTTACAACCCCAGGTGCTACGCTCACGGCTAGCTTCATCGTCAGCCCCACACTCTGATGCCAGAATTATTATCCCATCTATTTTATTTACAAGACAACGAGGCTTAGGAAACTGGGTGAATGCGCTCATGAGGCGTGAGTCCACGATTCAAACCTCAGTCCCTTTTACACAGAAGCTGCTTCTACAATACACAAGTGCTTCCCAACTTTTATGACCTTAGGACATCAACTCAGTGAGGACTCCAAAGAAATTCCTACTAGAAATTAAAGCTGAAAAGACATGAGTTTGCTTTAAAAATTCACTAGTAAAATGAAATTTTAAACTAGCTGTTTTATTTAAAAGCAATAATGATTTTATTTTATTTTTACATAAAATATATATTTTACATAAAACAATTTTTAGACATAAATTATATTTTTTTCACCAAAAGAAACCTTATATTTTCCTAAACACAAATATTTCGAGTGACATTGTTTTCTGCTTTTGCAAATCTCTTTGATCTGGCTTAGTGGACAGCAGAATCTGCACATCTGCTTTTATAGCCAACCTGCTGCAATATGCTGTTTGATGGAAATATATGAAAAATCTCATCTGCCTTCACAACATATAGTTAGAAAAGACAAGCATCCAGGCATCTTTCCAGGGAACTGTGGCTAGCCTCTGAGACTCCACAGCTGGTAGTGCCTGGAGCTAGCTGCAACGCATCATCCGACAGACAGCCCTACTGATGAACACTGTACGCACTACTGCGCTAAAACCCAAGCGTTTGTTTCTACTGACTCTTACACGTTTACTCACGTATGCTTTGATAACACTGTACAATGCTAATTAGAAAAAACTGACTCATCAAGCTACCCAGATTTCCCAATCTCATGACATCACTGATGTCATCGGAAACGTTGCCCTAGGCATTGCACAGCTATCAAGTTCATGATGGCAGCTACTGATTTTCTCATTTTCTATTTTCTTTCCTGACTAGATCTTATCACAGGGGGCAAGTGATTCTCGTTTTGTCAGGTCGACAGGCTAGTGTTATTAATTTTAAAGAAAGGCTAGTTAAATACCCAAGTCCAAAAAAAGAAGCAGTTTTTCTTTTTTCAAGTGAAAATGGAATTTTATAAAAAATGGCAGGTGGCCCAAGCGCATTTCATGCATTGGTTGAGGCGTTTTTTCTCCTCAAACACCCAACATGCTTCAGGATGCACCAGAGACATGTCGCAGAATGCTAAAATCCAATCTCAAGTGTGGCGATTCGACAGAATTAAACATGTTATTGCTTCATTAAGGCTCTTCCTTGAACTGCTTCTAGCTTCCCCTTCTGATCTAAATGAAGAGATAACTGTAGGCCCACAAACAGTCATGTGAGGAAATAATTTTGTCATAATGCAAACAAATCTCACAAGCATATTGCTGAGGAAAGGCATTCCACACCAGGAAAAAAAAACTGTATGATTTTCTTTCCATAAATCTCAGAAGCAGTTTTAACTAATTTCTGATTTTAGAAGCAGAGGTATTAACCTGGGAAAAAGTTTCTGAATGGAGTTTTGAGGGGACCAGAGACAAGTGGGGACAGTCTCTGTCCAGAAACAGGCCAAATGTACATAGGGTATTTCAACTGTAAAACCCACTAAAATGTTTCTTGGTCACAGTTTGATAAAAATCATTTCAAAATCAAGCATATTGGATAAGTTGCAGCATGCATCTGCAACCTCTTGGCTAACTGCATGTCTAGTGAAGTCAACTGGCAGTCACTAAGGCCTCAGGGTTAACATGCAGACTGACACCAGCCTCACTCAGTGTTAACATGTAGACGGACACCAGCCTGTTTTTTTCCATGGCTCACATATAGGTTATTATGCTAGAGAAGGTCAAAGATTGACCACAGAGGATCATTCTTATATCTAGCCCTTGAAACCTCAAGCTAGCTCAGAAAAGGTCCTGCCTATGTTCACCATCTAACGCAACTAAAATAGAGCTCCACTACCCTAAGTCTGGTGCCCACTGCTCCTGGGACGGACATCAGATACCATGGATTCCTAAGCTGTCATTCCATTGTGACAAGCAGATATGTCAACCCCTCACCCCACCTCCGATGCTCCTCACCCCCAACAGGATTCACTAAGTGATGCTCAGGGAAGCTTCAGACCCAAACCTTCATGGGTCATAATGGTCCCTAAAGGCCCGGGAAAATGAGGCTACAGCAGCCACCAGCAGTACTTACGGGATCTCTGCAAGCCTCAGTGTACTGGGAGAAATCATCCAGTATCTGTCTACTCAGCACGAGGGTGCTGACAAGGTTTTCAACACCAGCAGTATCCACAAGAGAGGCTAATCTTATCTTAATGGACCTGGACAAGAACAGAGATAGGTTTCTTGGTTATAATACTAAAATAATATCACACTTACATAAAATAATATCTGATAATGTATATCTATGTAACATTGAGGTTACATTGATAAAAGTTTATAAAAATAACTCTCCTCATTCAAGAATACCTAAAAGTAAGCAAAAAGTACAAAGAATAAAATCATTGATATTACAAACCAATGACAACACGAAGTTACATTTTAAGTATATATAATTTAAATAAATATAATTTTTTCAGTTTTTTGACACAGGGCTTCTCTGTAGCTTTGGAGCTGTCCGGGAACTAGCTCCTATAGACTAGGCTGGCCTCAAACTCACAGAGATCCGCCTGACTCTGCCTCCTGAGTGCTGGGATTGAAGGCGTGTGCCACCACCATCTGGCAAATACTTATAATTTAGCACATATAATTTAAAATATTCAGCATACCTTATTTCACATTGCATACAGAGAGTTAAAATGCCTCTCCCAAATTTTAAAAAAAAACAAATTTAAAATTATTACATAACTATTTTCTTTTCCTTTCCTCCCTCCCACCCATTCTATGTACCTCCAGACACAGTTGCTCACTCTCAAATTCACTGCCACTTTTTTGTTGCCTTTATGCATACGTACATAGTGACATAAGTATGACCTGTTGAGTCCATTTAGTATTGTGTGTATGTGTATGATTTCAGAGATGACCACTTGGAGTTGGATAACCAATAAGGGGCTCATCCTTGGGAGAGGCTAATTCTCTCTTCTCAGCTGTCATTAATGAGCTGCCTATAGCTTTATCTGGGGGGAGGAGCCTCTGACGTTTCCCCCTTCCACAATAACCTGACTATCAGCATCTTCATCTTTCAGGTTTTATTTAAGCAGTCATGTTGTCGAGGTCCATGGATGTAGCTTCCATCATTTCTAGGAAACATGATCTCATTGCAGACTTTCTGGTCCTCCGGCTCTTACAATCTCTCCCAAATTAAAAACAAAAGAAATGTTTCATGCTGGAGAAGTTACAATGCCTGGGGTTGGTTTTCTGTGAATGCTCCCTACAGAGCCGGCCAAAGTTGCACCTAGTAAAGGGTCTCATCTTTGGAGCTTAATTCTCTGAGGTCGACATCTTAGGACTCTTAACATGTTCATCTGTAATTTTGTGTCTTTACGCAAAGTTTAGTGAGACAAAAGGGGTTAGGGGTTAGTGAGTCTAGGGGTTAGGGGCCATGGCTTATACTCGATTCTCACTGCCTACTGTCTGTTCATTGATGAGTCTCCTCCCACCTGCTCCCTACTTCACCACCCCATCCTCACTAACGCCTCTCTTTGTAAATAGTGACAACCGAGATCTACCTTGGACATTGGATGGAGAGCCATGTGAAGGGTGCGGCAAAGACGTGGCTAAAGACATCGTTTACCTGAAGCGGGGGATGTGGCATAGACATGGAGAAAGTTGCGGAATGGGTGCATGACCTGTGGAGTCTCTCTGGTCACGGCTCCCTCCCTTGGTAAGCAGAGTCAGGCTACATATGGTTGGTGACCTTACCCATGCTGTTTTTATTTTAATAAAATAAAATAATTTTAGTTTATCTTGGGGTAAAGTGTGCCAAGGATTGGAACAGTCATCCCATAGAAAGAAAATTTTGCTCCCCACATCCAGACAAGTTCCATATTTTTATTTTGTAATGGGTCTGTGTTTCATATAAATAACCTTATATCTTGCTCTCTCTACTCAGTTTTATTACTAAACAGATCAATGTTACTCATCTTAATAATAAACAATTCTAACTTAATTAACTCTTATTTGTGGTGAACATCTGATGTGGGATTCCCCTCTGTATGCTGTGAATACCATTGGTTAATAAAAAAAAAAACTGTCTTAGGCCTGTGATAGGGAAGAGTAGAGCTAGGCAGGGAAAACTAAACTGAATGCTGGAAGAAAGGAGGTGGAGTCATGGGGAAGCCATGGAGCCACCACTGGAGATGGACATGCAGGAACCTTGCCAGTAGGCCATGAGCCTCGTGGTAAAATATAAAATAATGGAAATGGGCTAAATTAAGATGTAAAAGCTAGTCAATAAGAAGTTAGAGCTAATAAGCCAAGCAGTGATTTAATTAATGCAGTTTCTGTGTGGTTATTTCGGGGCTGAGCAGCCAGAAACAAACAATTGTAATGCATGGTTACATGTTATAAAGAAAATGGTTTATTTGCAAGGATATATATGTGTACAATGATCTGGTTAAAACCTGATCAATTACTATCACCTCAATCATAATTCTAAGCAATCTTGAAGACAAAGATGAGAACTTGGCTCTGATATGAACAGTTTGCCCAAAAATCTAGTTCTGATAGATTAAAGGTGTAAAATGTTTTTAAAAAAAGGGCCAAATGTATTAGGGAAATAGAAGAAATGAAAATAATGTCCTACAAAATGTCCATAACACCTTAGTCACAACACCCCAAAGGAAAACCTAATGTCTATAAACTGATACATGCTTAGAACAAGGCATATGTACAGAGTGGAGTTATTCAGCCACAGAAGGGAATGAAGTGGTAAGGTATGTTACATGTGACAAAGGTCATGTGTAAAACATTACACATTGTGCTGTTTCATTTTTATGAAAGGTCCAGAATAGGCAAGTTTATAGAGGTAGAAAGGACACCGGTCAGCTGTGGGGACAAGGTGACCAGTTGACTATTCAGTGGGCGTGGGTAGGCTAAGAGGTTACAAAAAATGAACATAGACAGAGATGATGGGTGCACAACATTGTATATCCACTAAGAACCACGAAATTATTCAATTAAGCAAGAACATCGTGCTATATTAATTGCATCTCAATAAGCTATTATTGTATGCATGATAGTCTATGTGTATATATGTATGAAATATCAAAGAAAGTTAAAAAGGCAAAGAAGGGAATGGCAACTAATAGTCAAACCAAAATGATGTGGTTACATAAATAGCAGATGAATTAGCACTTAAGGCTGAAGTCCCTATGAGAAAAATAACTTTTATTTGATAAAGTAAAATCTCAGTAGAGAACAATGCCAAGTCACCAGGTTTCTGCCAAAACAGCTTCAGGTTCCTGAAGTGAAAATTAATGGAAACTGATGTGAAATATTGTACAAAATTTGGATACGCTTAATCTGAAGGATGCTACTGCCTCAACGTGAGCAAACTTGGCATCCGTGGCCCCTTTCCATCTGAGTGGGCAGCAGCTCTGCATTCCAGCAGCTGAGGCCCGAATCACCAGCTTCCTCTCGGCCTTCCTGCATACCCCATCTCAGCCACACGCCAGATGGACTGGCCCTTTAAAAATACACCTGACTCCAACCTTTTCCATCACCCACCCTGGCTATCCCTACTCCACTGCTGGGATGCTACAACAGGAGCACCCCATGTCTCGGCGTGCTCCCGCTAGCTCCCCCAACCCATCCTCAACAGAGATGCCAGGGTGATGCCTCTAAAATCCCGAGTCCTAGCGCCTGACTCTACAGTGCTAATCCCAGTAATGGCGGAGTTCATGACCTCTTATGCCCGAGGCTCTTCTCAGAATACTGTTTCTGCGTGTCTAAAACAAGACACAGAGAATGACAACAGGTGAACTTAAATCATTGTGATTAAGCAGCGGTCTATTGATTGCTCTAATATTTTGCACTGGTGCACATAAGTAATGAGCGACAACTGCAGATATCTGAAGCTGCAGTATTGAAGGAAAACGAGGAGGAAGCAGCAGGGGCTGGTGACACCACTGTGGACTGCCGCCTCCTTTCACAATGGAAGGAGATGCTGGATTTCAAGTACAGCTTTGTGAAAATCAAGGATGTGATTTTCCACCTCGACTCCATCCACAGACCCTGGGTGAGAACATCAGTTATCTCACCCACTGCGCTGAGTGACAAGCCAAAATCACAGAGTGGCTTCGAGGACTCCAACCAGTCTCCTCTCCTGGGTCTTCTCTTCACACTCTCTCTGGATCTCGCACCTCTAAACTGTCTCTAAATTGTGGGCTTCTTTCTTTCCCTGCCTCACCTTTCAGACCCCGTACTAGTCCCCAAACTCAACCCTTGTGTTCCCTCATCATTTCTCCCCCGAAACCCTCACCTCTCAGCTCGGTGAACCCAGACCTACCTGGATACCAACAGTGTATACAGACATCACTGTAGGAGCTGTGCCACCTAGCTCTGGCCCCTCACATTCTCTGTCCTATTTCTCTCTGCGCACTTCTTCCCTTCTCTTTGCTTTGTGGGTCATTCCTCCCTGTCTATTAGAACATGAGTTCAAAGACAAAATCCCTGCCTCTGCTGCAACGCTATAGCTAGAACAGCTCCCGATGGACAGCGGCTGCCAAGGGAATGGATTACACAGCCTGGGTGGAAACAGTCAGAGAGTCCCATGCTTATGGCATGCCTTTATGACTATGATAAGTGTTAAAATTATAAAGTGTGCAGCGGGAGCAGAAAAGTGAATACGAATAACTGTCATAGTTAGGGTTTCTGTTGCTGTCATGATACACAGTGACCAAAAGCAACTCCGAGAAGAAGGGGTTTATTTGTCGTAGGCTTCCATGTCACTGTTCATCATTAAAAGAAGTCAGGACAGGAACTCAATGAAAGCAAGAACTGGAGATAAGAGCTTGTGCAGAGGCCATGGAGGAGTGCTGCTTACTGCCTTGCTCCTTATGGCTTACCCAGCCTGCTTTCTTATAGAAGCCAGGATCACCAGCCTAGGAGTGGCGCCCCCTACAGTGGGCCACCAACACAGGCTTGCCAGCAGACTGATCTTAAAGAGGCATTTTCTCCACTGACTCTCCCTCCTCTCTGATGATGCTAGCTTGGGTCCGGTTATCATATAACTGGCCAGTACAAATACCTTCCTCCCAGCTCCCAGCTTCCAGCTCAGGCCACACCATGGCCTACTTTGAAAGCCAGGGCTTCTCCTAGCCTACAGTGGCACTGAGTAAGGGCTCAATGGGACTTGGAGTTTTTTCTCAGGTGTCACAAA